ATATTTTATAATTTTAATATATTCATTGGTAAACAAAAGTTTTATATTTTCATACAGCTTTTACATTCTCAAATTATTTACGTTATTCAACATTTGGTTTGATTTCAAAAAATTTTTATTCTTCTTCTTTTTTCGTTTAGTTCTTCTACCAAGACCATCTCTTACTGGATATCTTGTAGCTCATCATATTCATGGATATCTTGCCTTAATAGCCCAGCTGTGCGCCTCTCATGTGAGTCGAAATTAGCCCTGTGTGCCGCCTAGATGAGCAGCCCGGCTAACTAACTAAGTCAAGGGCAACGTTTGATTTTTTGAGTTTTATTTTTTATTTTTTTTGCGTTTCGTTTTTTGTTTAGGGCCAACAGCTGATTAATGAGCCCGGCTAATGAGAATGGGCGGCACATTTGATGAGCTGGCCCTTGCGCATTTCGCTAAAATTCATATTTAAAGTCAGGCAGTATATTTTGGGGGAGGCGGGGCGTGGCTGTCAGAGGCAATCAGGCTGCAGGCGAAATGCGTCGCAAATATCAAAGAGCGTATTTACATGCAAAACAGGAATTGTGGCTCAGACTGAGGGCTCAGGGCTCGGCTTTTTTTCCCTTTTTATACTCATTGAAAGTGGATGAAAGCGGGTAGTATAGGCTGACTGAAATGTATGCTTTATGGTGGGATCCTCTGTTGACTTAGCTTCTGTTTTCTTTTTTCTTTTATTTTCTTCTCTTTTCCTTCTTGCTTTCTTCATTTTAATTTTCTTTTTTCTTCTCTATGCCTTTCTTTTCAGTTCTTTTCATTCCATTCATTTCTTTTCCTTTCCTTACTATTTCTATTCTTTGCTTTGCATTCCTCTCATTTCTATTTCCTTTATTTTCCTTTCTTTTTCATTCAGCTTACATCCATTATATCAATGAAAAGTATTTTCTTTTCTTTGTTTTTCTTCTCTCTTCTCTTCTCTTAACTTCTCTTATCCTCTCTTCTTCCTTACTTGACTTGTCATTTCATCTTATTTGCCTTTGATTTTTTGCTTTGCATCATATCCCATAGCCCATCATTGCTAAGCCTCGTTTCGTCTCTTTGCTTTTTCAGTTATTTCAGAGTATCTCTTAGCTGAGCAATCCCTGCCGATACAATGTTTTCTTTCATTCTTTTTTTTTTTTTTGTATTTTTCAGCTGCTACTGCTAAGTTGACTTGCCACAGAGGCGCGTTTCAGCCAGAGGGAAAAAATTGAAAACCATTAGGATTAATGTTTAGTTGAAAGATTTGCGCGTTAAGCCATTTTTACATGGCTGCAATGCCTCTGCGGCTGCGGCTACGTCCTGATGGCTGACTCCTACTCTGGCTCTGACTCCTACTTCGGCTCTGAGACTGGCAATTGCTAATGTAGTTTATGTGTAACAGGCGGAGGCTTCTTAACGTTAACTGACGGCAAACCGTTATGGCTTAAGGGCGAGCGACGCACAAACGGCATGTAAAATGTGACATTTTAATGTATGCAAATGAGACGTTGAATTAAGCTCCACGAACACCCACGAGCTCCCACTCACACACACACACACACACACACACACGCATACAGACGCACACATCAGTTGGTTTCATATCCGTTTCCGTTTGCCTTTGCGCCATGTGATATGATTTAAAAATAATGAAAGCCAACGCTCTTCAATGGCTTTAATGTTGCTCCCCATCTCCCTCTCTCTCCTCAGCTATTGCTATCTATCTCGCTCTCTCGCAGCCTCTCTCGCTAGCAACGTGACTTGTACTTCGCCTACCCTCTCTTTTTCACTGTCTCTGTGTGTGTGTGTGTGTGTTTGTTCGACGGAAATGTCAACTTAACTTTTTTGCGCTTTGACAGTGACACAACAACAGGAGCAAAGCTCGAATATATTAGAGAGCGGGAGCAGGAGCGGGAGCAGGAGTCGGAGCAGGACTCCTCGTCCATCTACAGGCAATTTATTAATTTCTATGCAGCGTGCGTATCGTAATTTGTTTTGTTGTTTGCTTTTTCTTAGCTAGAAAATTACTTAAGTACCAGTTGCTTCGTTTCGATTATTTGAACTTTGCTTTGCAATTTCCTTGATTGTTTTTTATTGGCATAATTTAATGTTGCTGTTTGTCCTTGAACTGCTCGATGGCACAAAATTTTGCCTTTGACATATTTCAAGTGGCTGAAAATTTTAATTGAGCGCACGTATTTGAATTTCTTTGTATTTTTTTTTGGTAATATTTTGCACTTAAGCAGTCGATAAGCCTATTGACTGATGACAATTAGAAATTATAGAAATACATTTTATATAAATTAAGAAGTTTAACTTCTATATTAAAAATCGCCTTAAGCTGTCAAATTTCAATTCCATCAAGTCTAGCCCAACCCAGTCTGTACCCCTTTCATCATTTTGTGAGACTTTTGTTTATTATCTTGGCTTTTTTGCCAAGTTTTTTTATGATGTCTACTGCAGCTGTTGCTTTACATAGGCAAAACTCAATTTTGTTATTTTAATAATTCATGAATATTGAATATTATTATATTATCATTGGCAATTGCAGTTAGCATGATTTGTTTATACAGCTAACAGAAAACGAGCGAGCAAGGCGAATGTTTGTTTGTCTAGCTGCGAGTCTTATAGATGGCTATCAGAGCAGCCCCTTGGCCATTTGTATATGTATAGAGTATGTGTATGGTTCTCACCACACACACACACACACACACATAGACACACTTAACATAAATGAGCAAACATTTTCATCTCAATTTGCAAAAGTTTTGGCCACATTTAAACTAAATTTTTGGCCTCTGGAATTAATTGCAAACCATTTAAAATAATTATTTATACGTATAAAAAAAAAGGCAGAAATATTTGGGCTGTTTGTGAAGCACTCACCGATTAGCACTAATATCACATGTAGCATATACCAAAGCTGCAAATGCGTTGCTGTTGTTGTTGTTGTTGTAGTTGCTGTTGTCCTTTTGGCCAGGCTCACAGCTTGGCCTGCCTGTTGCTTGTGGCTGTGGCTATGGTGGTGCTGCTGTTGGTGGTGGTGATGGTGGTGCTCCCGCTCCCGCTCCCGCTCCTGCTGCTGCTGTTGGTGGTGTTGGCTGTGCTGTCGGTGGTGCTGTGGCAGCTGCTGCTGACTCTGTCCATGACTGTGACTCAGTCTGTGACTCTGACTGTGACTCAGCCTCTGAGTGTGACTCTGGGGCTCTGGCATACACATGCTGGCAGTTAAAACACTTTCACTTGCCGGAAGGGTCAAAGGGCCGGCAATGCGCCTTTTGCTATTTGCCTGTTTATTTATGTGCTGTGGGCGAGCCCTTGGACGCTGCCCACGCACACACACACAGTGAGAGTCTCACGCTCGCCCTCTCTCTCTCTCTCTCTTTCTTCGATGTGTTTATTAATTTCTGTGTGAAGCAAGAATTCACTTATTTAATTTAGACATTAAGTTGATATAGCTGTTTGTTGTTCATATTATTGTTGTTGTTGTTGCTGTTGCTCTTCTGCTTGTTGTTATTCTTATTTTAACTGCCTGGCAATTAATCACTTTTAATCGGGAGCGCGAAATGTAGCCGGAAAGCAAACGAGTAGAGSAAAGAAAGAAAGAAGCATAGAAAGGAAGAAAAGTAAAGCGGGCGAAACTATTAAACGGCCGGGACACAGCAAACGCGCGGCCCAAAGTTAAAGACATAAATTTTGCAGCATTTTGGCCAAAGATTAATTACAACAGCAACAGCAGAGAGCAAGAGACTGCGAGAGAGAGAGTGCGAGAGAGAGAGCGAGACAGCAGCATTTGGGACACTATTGAGGCGCATGCAACATAAATTCAAAATTTTCCCCTCACTCTCGGCTGTTGCTGCCTCGCATTTGATTTACGGCTAACTGGCAAACGCTTACAACAAGGCAATTGAGAGTCCTTGTTCAAGCACTTTCGCTGCTAGCGCGTTGTCGTTGTCCGCTGTCCCTGCTCCCTGCTCCATGCTCCCTTCTCCCTTGTCGCTGTCGTTGTTGTTGATGCTCCGCTGTTAATATAATAATGCCACACGCTCCGCTGACCCACATGGGCCGCATTGCAGCGAAATGCCCATCAAACTTGATTAGCGGCAACTGCTCCTGCTGCCTATGGTATGTCCATCACTCTCCACTCTCTCTCTCCGCCTCTCTCTCTCTCTCTCTCTCTCTGAGAACTTTCTCTATAAATACGCAGCCCATTTGGCCCTATTAATTGCTATTTATAACTTAATATTAGCTCGCATGTTTTGCTGCCTTTAAATTTATTACAATTACTTGAATGAAAAATTAAAGATAATAAAACAGAAATGAACAATAAAAAAAAAGTATTACAGCTCGATTTGCTTGGGGATGATTTGAAATTGAAACATGTCTAAAATATATAAATAAATTGTAAAATAATATATTATTGATAGTAAAAATGTAATAATATGAATGAAATATGAAACGAATTAATCTTCACAAATATTTATTAAAATGTTATGTTTCTTAACATTTTTTTTTAATTTTTAAAATATTGAAAGAAATAAGTATGTATTATTAAGGAGTATAAAAAGAAATACTCAAAGACTTTTTCCTACATGTAAACCTATAAGCATAATTATATTGCAAGGAAGCGATTATACAGTAATAAATTGTCAATAAAAAAATAAGTATATAATTATATTTTTGTATATATTCCAAAAAGCAGCTTATTATTGATATTATAATAGAACACAGTATATTAATCATAATTCTGTATATGTATCTATATTTAATACATGTAAACATTAGGATTGCTTGTAGAAAGACTAAATAATTATTGATTGATCAAATTTTACATTTGTGAGCAGTATCTTACATAAAACTTTAAATAAGTCTGATCAAGAGCGACTTAATAATTTGCTGAAATTAAAACTAAAATTAAAACTATTTTTTAATGCAATATTTGACATCGATTTAAGGTAAATCATAAATCAGAAATATGAACACAATACTTTACTGAAATTATTTTCTAAATATATACAACGAAATATTTTCTCAATATGTAAAATATTTTGATCTAGCTTAATTATTATTCTTGTGACCTGAATCCGTTAAAAATGGGAAATTAGGGCATAATGGTTTATTATTACAATCAGATCTCAAATACAGTTGCAAGCTCAACAAATCAGATGCAGCACAGCACATCAAACAATACAACATTCACAATTTACTCAAACTGTCAACAATGGAAAAAATTACTCATAGTATTACAAGCTCTGTTGCTTGATTGAACAACTAAATAGGATTTGGGCCGATGTTTTTAAAACACGTTAAAAAATCAAAGCGATAAACAAAAGCCAATGTGAAATTCAACAACAAAGCATTACAAAGTGCTTTTAATGACAGCAGAAAAGGAAACAGAAAGAGAGAGAGAGAGAGAGAGAGAGAGAGAGCGAAAACAATATAAAATAAATAAAATACTTGACAAATTTTTTTTACACGCACTTGTACACAAAATGTTGTTGTGGTTGTTTGCACAACAATGGCAGCAGCAACAACAACAACAACAATGAGAACAAACTGGCAGCTAACAAGTCGAGCAGAGATAATAAAGCAGCAGCAGCGACAACAATAACAAATAACAAACACAAACGATAGCGGACAAAAACCCAAAAACAACAAAAATAGCTTCGTCATTGTTTCGAGAGCGCCTAAAAATATGCAGCAGCAAATTTTATGCATGGAATAGTGTGAGGCAGCCGAGACTCAAACCAAAACCAGATACTTCAAGAACTCAAATTAAAACAATCAACACGTAGGGGAATGGGGAGAGGGGAGCGCAAGCAGCAGAGCGACGCACATAATTAAGTGAAATTAGTGAGTTGGTAGAACGAAATAATGCAAATTTCAATAGATGCAAATTAAGTTTTAAAAATACAGAGAACTTGGAACAAATGCAGAGAAATGGCAAGTCGAAGGAGAGCGCAGATCAGCTGGAGCCAAGACACAAAGCAAGGATCAAAGAATATGTGGAGTAAGTACAGGTACAAGCTAAACAGATCTGCGACAGCTAAGACGCAAACCAATGTGCAAACAGATAAATGTGAACAGGAGTGAGAGGGAGGAGAAGCTAGGCAATTTATTAAGTAAAAATTTAAAAAGAATTGTGAATCAAAATAATATTTATTTGTAATACGAAAAAAATTCTTATATTGAGCTCAAATATGAGAAGACTATTTGTGCAGTTACATATACATTTTTGGAAGTGAGAACAGATCAGCAGCAGCAAGGACTCAAACGAAACTCCAACCGTTGACTATGCGAGCTATAGAAGATATTGAATATAAGTAAGTAAATAGATAAGAAAAGAAGAACAAAGTCATGTGGAAAATAACTGAATTAACATACGATATAAAATACATTCTTTAAATTGAGCAGGTTTGAAATGAAAAGTGAGAACGAGAACAGATCAGCAATAGCAAAGATTAAAACCAAACTAAGATAAGAAGCAGTGAAATGGGCAAGCGGGCAAAATGAAAAAAAAAAAAAAAAAAAAAAGCTAAGAGGCAAACGAAGTACAATTAAAGAATATTCAAATATTAAGAAATCAAATAAATATGAATAATAATTAATGATCAGTCAAATTAGGAAGAATTTGTTTACATAAAAAAAGTGGGATCACTAACAGTCGAGACTCAAACCCAAACTGCAAAAGCAAACACACAGAACAGAGAGCACGCACAACAGACGATCATAATTACATCAAAGTAAATTTAGATATACAACAAAATTTAAAAAAAAAAAACAATTTATTTTTTGTTATTATATTACAGACTTTTTCTTTGCCATGATTTTTTTTTTTCCTATTGTCGCGCTTTTATTTTAATTAACCGCAACCGCAGCAGTTCAAAACTTTCCACAAGGAACAGCAACAATAACAACAATAGCAACAACAGCAGCAACAACAACAAACAAAATGCTTCATAAATGTTTGTGGCACGCAAATCGCATTTATTTTTGTTTTGTTTGTTTTGCTTTTTTTCTATATAAATATATTTTAAATTCGTGTTTCTCAAATTTATTGAAGCACACCTAAAACTTGCACTTTGTTTTCTCTGTTTGCTTTCAATTTGATTTTATTGCTCAAATTTTTATTTTATTTTTTAATGGAACTAACACGAAACAACTTTTAAAGCCCGCACACGACACTTGTCCATTCAAATGCAAAAGTATTGCTGCCAGTGTGTGCATGTGTGTGTGCTTGTGTGTGTGTGTATGTGTGCGTGTCTCTGGTTTCTGGTTTCGGTTTTTCAGTTCTGGTTCAATTTGAATGCCAAAGAGTAGCGCGCGCGCGATTCAAACGACGTGCGTTCGGACTGGAGTGCAAATCATAACTAAAAAAAATTTTCAACTTCTTGTGCAAGTTTGTGGTGCGCCATCCAGCGGTCAAAGCCGGAACTAAGCGTGCCACTGCAATCCTTGCGCATGCCTGAGACACACACGCAAAGCCGACGACCCTCAAGTAAGACGAAGGAAGGAGAGCGAGAGAGCAACAAAAACGAGCACTTGTTACTCTCTCAGCTATGACTGTGTTTCATTGCCGGAGCGTTCCGCTTCAGCGTTAACAGAAAGCTTTGCGCTGTTAAAATAATGGGATTTTTCGTTTGACTTGGGCGCCATTTCACTTGAATTGTGTTTTCAGGATCGCAGACAGAGTTTTGGTATAGCAATTGATACAATCAAAATGAAATAGGGGACATTCATATAAATAATTATTTGCGTTGCAGTCGGGCATTATCAACTGTAGAATACTCATTCACGGCCAGCTCAATTTCACGATTTGCAAATTCTAAATCTTTATCTACGAACAAGTCTCTTCATAAGGACAGGACGCCTAGGCTGACTTTGCACAAATCAAATACACTTATTTCCCTTTCATAAATATTAAATCTGTTAATTCTACACATGCCGCTTGTCTTCCTTTATATTAATCATACGCTTGTGGCTTGCCTATAGAAAATATTAAGATAAGGTAATTTATTAGCCAATTCTAACCATTCAGCT